GGTTATGTATTGGTTTTTTTAGAATTTATAAAACACACAAGATCATTTGATTTGTTGTGTTGTGTTGTTTGTGTTTTTTTTTTTTTTTTTGAAAAAAAAAATATTTTTTTGTGAAATTTTTTTTTTTTTTAAATTTTTATATAGCTATAAAATGTAAAGTTTTTAGGTTTTTTTTTTTTTTTTTTTTCTATACCAAACGCTAGAACAAGAACCTGCGAATTTAGTCGATGGATTAATGATTGATTTTCTTTTCTTCGTTTCTTTTGTATTTTTTTTCTTTTTTGCTTCACACGCCCCGAGTTGTTTAGTGTGCTACACAGCCTCGCTTCTTCTGTTTCCCCTTCCCATTGTTCCCCGCGCGCTTTCTTTTTCCCTTTCTCCAGCCCTCCCTACGATAAAAAGAGGCCTCTAGGGAGGAGAGAGGGTCAGTACCAAACCAGATAAATTGCTGCTTAAACGTTCGTCGCGTAGAATTCCCAGTCCATTGAGATCGACAAAAATCTTTCCGTCCGGGTGGGGGTTAGTGTTTTCTCTTTTTTGTGCCGTGACACTTCTAAATGAAGCGTACATGAGGTAAAAACAACAAAACGGTCAAAGAGTACTGGAAACAAGTTTGAAAAATAATAAAGATGGCGGCCGGAGTCGCGGAGAAATTTTTTTGGTTTTCCAGGACGTTTTCTGGAAGTTTCCTTCGCGCCGTCTACTCCTCAGGAGTTCAGGTCAAATTCAAAGGGTAACAAAAATAACAGTTTTTATCGTCTTCCTTGGTTTAAAAAGACTTTGGTGGTTTTAAAGATAGACAAGAGATGGCACGATTTCAGGTGGTACCCTTCGCAATTTCTGCAAACTTTGGTTTTAATCTTTCCGTGAAAATCTACGCAGGTGAAAATCCATAAAAAAATGCCGAATTTTTGGTTGGCTTTCAGCGCAAAAAAACAGTGAAATCCGATAAGCTGGCATTGATCGAAGGTAAGTTCTTGAATTTGATGTTTCTTGATATTTACTATATTCCGGTGGCACCCATTGAGAATTGGTTACGAGCAACTCACAATCAGAGACAAAAAACTCTCAAAGTCGCTTCAGTCTTATCATTCCGCCATATTTTAAAGACCAAATCGTGGCTTGAATGCGGCTCTAGCCTTTTAAATTCCCGGATGTGACCAGACATTCTACGCGACGTGTGTTTTGATATTTTGTGTCTTGGGGTTCATAATTACCAGACATAACTAATCGATGATCAATGACATCAATTGGTAATCAATGACTAAGCGATGAGTAATCAAGTTCATTAGTCATTGATTATTGGTAATGCTTTGGTTCAATAACTTTTCCGCGTGCGTCCTGGTAAGTCAAGCGTAGGCCTTTTTGCGTCCAGAAGCTTTTATCTAGCGGTTTGGATCATCAGTCGATTTCTTGAATGCTTATTTAATTTCGGTCAGTGGAACTCCGGCGGCTCTGCAATCGTGTTTTCTTGTTGTATTTACTTCAGTGTATTATTTGCTCTATATTGTTTTCTTTTGTTTTGCTATCTGTTTGTAGTGTTTCCTTTCTTTGACATTTCATATTTGTTTATAAATTTCTCGCCAAGGACCCAGAACGGACCCGGAACACTATAAGACCCGGAAAACTAAGACCCTGACGAATTGGCCATCAAAGAAACTCAGCAAAATATGAAAAGTGACCCTTAAAACAGTGAAGGAATACTTTAATTACAAGGAAATAGAAAAGAAGAGCACGGATGAAATGAAGAAAATCAAAATAGATCATAATTTTTGTTTTGATATTGTGTTTTGATATTTTGTGTATTGGGGTTCAAA